GAAAATTTTTTTAGTGTCATTGAGAAGTCTGTTATAATTAGAGTAATTCATAGTTGCGAGAGAAATTTTGGCCATGAACATCGGGCAGTCATTCTCAAGGCCACTCTGAAAAATTGGCCAGATGGCCGAAGCCAATTTCTTATATTTGAATATTCCAGAACAACAAACTGCCTTTATCGTATCTGGACGAGATTGCTCAGTACATTATCGAGAATATACCAGAAGCACGACAAGCAGTGAATAAGAAATCTGCTGCTGCTGCTGCGCCACCAGGAAAAGCGCTCGTAGACGGAGAGGTGAGTTCTGTACACTGCTTACTTCTCGAATACGGTGAAGTGAAATACACACGGAACAGGGATGGAATGGAGCGGAACTGTTGAGAAACACTTTTAAAAATTATGGTTCAGCACAAAATTAGTGTTTTTGTAACTATTTATTTGCTTTTCCCGCCATCAGCTTGCTTCCAAACAGCCCTCAAAAAGGGGAGCCATTGTATGTGTGTGTGTGTGTCTGTATACGTGTGTATGTGTGTGCATGTGTATGTGCGTGTATTTGTGTGTATGTGCGTGTATATGTATGTGTGTGTATGTGTATGTGTGTATGTGTATGTATGTGTACGTATTTATGTGTATGTGTGTGTATGTGTATGTGCGTGCATGTATATGTGTGTGTATGTTTGTGTATGTGTTTGTGTATGTGTGTATCTGTGCGTACGTATATGTATGTGTATGTGCGTGTGTACGTGTGTGTGCGTGTGTGTGTCTATGTTTTCGTCTGTACCGATTTTTTTAAGACTTTGACTTAATTGTGCACCTGACTTTTTGCATTCATTTTTCTGCACAAGCGATTTTGTCATTCCATCAGCACAAAGTTTTGTTGCGGAAAATTTGAGGGGCAAACTGCATCTGTTTGCTGGAGGAGCGTGCTAGGCCAATGTCGCGATGCATAAATATAGCCAAGTGCAGTGCTTTTAGAAATGTGATCGTGTTTTCGAAGTAACACTGAAAGATGGCCGAGTGTTGGAGTTGCCGTACAATAAAGGTGAAGATGTAAATTGGGCTGTACAACGTTTCGTCGAACGACACAATCTTCCGATGGGGACATGGGCTAGCGTAAGTTAAATCTTAGTGAATTATTTTAAGCTGTGTTTCACCTTTATACCTTTCCTTTTCATCATTACATTTTTCTAGATTTACTAGATTTTTCCAGATTTTTCTAGATTTTCTAAAAATCTAGATTTCTAAATTTTCTAGATTTAGGTTCTTCTAGATTTCTAGATTTTCTAAGTTTTTCTAGATTCTAAATCTGGATCAAGTTATAAATTTTTCGAAATTTGCCATTTTTCACAAGTTTATTGATGCCGGCGTTAGATTCTTGATGATTAAGATGCTACCGGTTGCTTGTGACTGATATATAGGGCTGAAAAACGACTGAAGAGCGTTTTTGTAATACGCAATAGTGATGAAAATAATAATAATACTGGTAACAGTTAATATCAATAACAGTAATTGCGATAATGGTAATAATAGCGATAATGATAATAATAATGTTAATAATAATGACAGTTCTACGTGTTCTAAGGTTTGCCATTAAGGCAATTGGGCATGGAAAATGATTGAATGGTATTTCCGTAATACACCATAGTGGTGAAAATAATTGTAATGTTAGTAATAACAGACGTAATAATAATAATAATGAAAAAAGCAATAATGTGAATGGTAATAATAATAATGATAAATAATAATAATGATAAATAATAATAATGATAATAACAACAATAATAATAATAACAATAATAGCAATGATAATAGCAATGATAATAGTAATAATGACAATAATAATAATGGTAATAATAATAATAATAATAATAATAATAATAATAAAGATTGTGCATTTTTAAAGTTTGGAATTATTTAAAGGAAATTGGGGCAATAAAAAAAAATCAAGGATTTATACAATGAGGATAAAAAATTATATAGTTACCTAGCATCGTGCTGGGCTGACTGGAGTGCCTACTGGTGTAAAGCTTTTGATAGCACAGAGAGTTGAAGTTACATAGTAAGTTTACTGGCTTTTTTACCACTCCTAAATTTTGTCAAAGCTAAAATCAAGCCTCCTCTGCCCACGCTGTCTGTGAAAGGCGAAAGAACGCCAAAGTTGTCGGA